CCGCTCTTTAAAAAAAAAAACAAACTACAGAGCTTTCACCAGATTCAGCACTATTCAGGATAACTTGTCAGCATTTGGCTTTTGTGCACATCAGTGATGGAATAATCCACAGGAAATCCTCATGCTTACTCACATCCCTAACCACCACAGACAATTCAAGCGATTCATATTCTTTCTTTAGATTTTAATTTCAAACCTACTGTTTTCTCATTGCAATAAAATATAAACTCACCTGTTATTTTCTGCAGCAAGGTAGATAGTTCTGGTTCATCACAAAAAGCCTGCACTAGTGCCATTTTCACTTCTTCTTCAGCTTTATCCAGTTCTTTTCCAGCTTTGATTTCCCCAACCACAGAGTAAATGTACACCAGCAACACAAGGAAGTCTTCAGAGGTATAGTCATTAGCTGTCCTTTCATTATGAGACTTGATCATAGGCAACAACTGATTCAAAACATTGGGTATCTCAGATTCACCGATATTCTGAAAATAGAGAAGAGAAGGTCTTGGTTTCCCTAATACAAACAGGTAATTTTTGTCACCATCAGACAGATGCTGCTGTCTACACGTGGGAATAGTTCTTCTGCACGGCTGCCCATGTATTCTCAGGTTGTTCTTGAAGACTGCTGCTTCCACACTGCCGCATCATTGTTTTAAACAAATCCAAGCACCATCTCCTTCATTACTCCATGAACTAATCTTTATGGAGCAATTGTGTAATCTTGCCCCTCTCTTTCTGTTATTCCCGTCATTGCACCAAGTTTGTAAGTTCCTTGGGGCACGGATTGTGTCCGCTCACCTGAGCCTAGCACAGTCAGGGGCCAAACATAGGGGAGGGGAAGGGTACACTTTCCCATGGGTCTTGCCCAACTGGCAAATTCTGGTATGTGTGGGGGAAGGAGCCCATGTTACATGTTTGTACAGGCCTGAAATAAGGATGTTAAGTATCAGGTAAATGACTAATCAAATAGCTGATGCATTTTTGCATTGACTATTCCAGTGTTTCCCAAATGGTGTTTCGCCGAACCCCGGAGTTCTGTGAAGTGAAAATAAGGGTACTGCGAGAAATTTCATTACAACATTTTACAATTAAAAAAATGTGATTTTTGTTTTTAAATATGTGCAATTAAACTAAATGTTGATCTCATGACCTTGTTTAGCATTTGCTTATTATTATCCTTACTTATTTGTGGTCTACTTTTTCAGCTCCATATATTAGACTGTTATTAGGGGTTTCATAAAATTCTTTCAAGTTTAAAAGGGTTCAGTGGCCAAATAAAATTGGGAAACACTGGACTATTCGATTAGTTGATAGAGCACCTCCGTCTTTGAAGTGTAGCAACAGCCCTAGGGTTGCTACACTTCAAAGGAGAAAGTGCCAAAGCCCGGGGTCAGCTGGATTTCCCCGCTGACCCTGGGTTATGTGTGGTGCTGCCGCTTTGAAATGCCACAAGGAGCCCCCCACTTCCTCTATCTGATTTGCTTATCGAATAGTTAACTAGTCGTTCACATCCCTAGCCTGAAAAAAATCATTCTTGGACCTTGAGTACACTCTTGGGAGTACTTGCAGAGTAACACATTCCTCAACGTAAGTAACGTGACGACTCAAGCCGAAAAAAAGATTCTGTCTACGCACTGTTACTCTACCTGAATATTTTCCTGTTAGAGTTTATTTCAGAAATAATTACTACGTAACACACATGCACACACACACACACACAATATCTTAAAGAAGCATTTTTCAACTTGAAAAAGTTCAATATTCTAAAGACAGGAAATGCCAGAATTAAAGTTGCCTGTGCTGCTTCAATTTAACTTCCAGTTGTATATGTGTAAGGATAGTTTTCCGCCCCTCCGCTGAGCACGGTCAGTCACTCCGTGAGGACGGCACATGTGCTATCTAGTCAGCACTATGAACTGGGAGGGACTGAAGCATACTCCATGAGGACAAAGCTTCAAATGCTCAAGAAGTCTCTACTAAGCATGTGCAAACTAAAATTTTTCAAAGACTTACAACTTGGGAAAAATATGAACCTGGATCTGCCTCATTCTAGTCAGGCACAGCAAAAAAACTAGAAATAATCCAGTTCTTGGTGATTTTTTTTATTATTAGCTTAGCTTTAATTCGCTAAAATTCACTGTGTTTGGAAAGCAGTATCTTTTTGGTGTTACAAATTATTTCACATGCATGTATCCATTGTTACCATTCATCCTAAAATGGAAGAAAAAACAACTGAAGAAAAACAGTTGTAAAGTGCTTCATGGAGGAAGCCATCTGTTGTGCACAACAGCAAGCTTTTATTGGTCTCACAACCACCAATAAAAAAAAAAAAGAGACAAAAAATTTTAAATAGGATATGTTCTTTTTTGCACGCACCCTGTTCAGGTGTACAAGTCCTCCAAAACAGAGGTGTTGCCTGGGGACATACAAAACAGAGCATGCTCACCTCCTAGTTGAGAGCACACACAGGAACTAAAAATAACTATGTGTAAAATTGCACACAAACTAGATTTAAATTTTGGTCCAGACTTTTAAAGATATTTAGGCATTGTGATGCACTATACTGCAAAACCTAACTGATGTAGAAATCTATGTCTCATTGTCAAATGTGATTTAGGCACTTAGGAGTCTTTAAATATCTTTAAAAACAGAGGCCTTTCCACCTATTTTTACACATTTACTAAAGAAAGGAGGACAAACTAAACATCTCCAAGGAAAAAGGAAATAAATAATAATTTAAGCAGCTACAATCAACTGCTAAGTTCAAAATATGCATTTAGATTTTTGTGTTATGATCTATTTTGATTTTTTTTTTTAATCTCTGGAGAAATGACCTTATAGTGGATTTCAAATTTAAATGCCAAATTTAAGAGACTATTTTGTGTAAACAGGCCAGTTGGACTGTAACCTGCATGAAATAAGGGCCAAGTCACCTCTTTTCCAAGCAAAATACTGCAGGGAGTTGGAAAATTTGTCTCAAACAAAATCCTAGCAGTTTGTCATTATCTAACCACCTCTAATGATTAAGGAGCTCTCTGTGCCTTTTTACAATCAATCAATTACACTGACTGAATAGCCCCTAAAACAAAAGTTTTAAAAATGCAACTGCCCATGACCCAAATTTCCTGCTGGTAATGTTGGCCTCAAGTTAGCCCTGTTTGTCGATTCCCAAGGGAGCCAATAAAAACAGGTCAATCCTAAATTTGCCAAAGTCTCCATAAAGAACATTCACAATGTTCAAGTCGGCACCATCTTAGAATCAGACTTACCACTCTCTCCTTAGTTGCACAGCTTGGATATTTTTTAACTCTGATTGAACACTTTCAGACTCCAGAGAGTTTATTAGTAATAGATTTTCCCCCTCTTTCCTCTCACCTCTTTCGGTCTGTCTTTCTATTTTAAAACTTGAGATGAGCAATAATTTACTGTCCCTAAAGGCAAATGAACTGATGTCACTTTGCTGACTTCTACTAAGGGTCTGTTTTTGGAAGACCGGAAAATATAGGAAAAAGTAAAAATACAGTTTTCAGTTTCCAAAGTGTGAACATGATATCGTTCTTCAAAAACAACGCTAAATCCAACTTCAAGAATCTACACCATTGACAAGGGAGTATAATAATAAAATGAATAATATTTTGTACTCCTGTAGAACCTTTCAACCAAGGACAATTACTGAAAATATTAATGAAACCCATGTACTTCTTGTCCAGTAGGCATCGGTATATACCTTTTATAGTTTGGGAAACTGAAGTGCAGAGGGGTTGTAGTGACTTAGATCACAAAATTAAGGCGAGAACTCAAGGCCATGGCTAACCCACAGATTACACTACAGAATTAAAATTGCTTAGGAGGGGTGAACACAGAGACAAGCATTTCATCTATTTTCTGTAACAGATAACACTATGTAGATAAACTACTTTATTATGCCACTACTCAAGTGGTTTTTAATTTAAAATGTAAAGAATGTTTTATTCTTTTAAAGCTACTTAAAGGGTTACTTTGGAATATAAAATATAGACTCATAACTGCAAGTAGCTAATTAAAAGAATTATATCTAAGACCAGCAGAAAAAGTGTAAATGCTTGAGTCTCCATTCATTTATTGTCACACACTAAACACCACAAAAAAAGAGTGGCGATTTACATTGTGACATACCCAGACGAGCTGGCTGCTGCAATCTAATGGAGGGAAAGTATGTTGGGCTCTGGGTGCAGAGTTTCCTCTTTCCCGAGTAAACAGGGCTGAGCCTAGTGGATCATAATCAGGCAAGGCACTGGGGCCAATTAAGAGCTTACGGGAAGCAGCAGGCTAATCAGGACACCTGCAGCCCATTAAGACCTGCTGGGGCTTGTTTATAAAGCCTCCCTGTAGGGAGGCAGAAGTCTAAGATCTGAGAGTGAGAGGAGTTCTGAGTGAGAGCTGAGGACTGCGAATAAGGTAGAGTGCTGTGGAGGAGCAAAACAAACTTGCTCAGGTTCCAGAGGAAAGGTACTGGGAGGGATTGTTTAGAGAAGTGGCCAAGGGAAAAAGCTGCCTAACTTGGAGCAGAATAAACCATGTCAGTTGCAACTGCCTTAGGATCCCTGGGCTGCAACCAGGAGTAATGGGTGTGCCCACGTTCCCCACAATCCTCATCGTGCCAATAAAGAGAGACCTGAAAAGAGAGACCAGGACTATGGAGGGGTTTTCACTCCAAACTGTGGACTAGCCTATGATCAGTATGATTCAGTAAGCTGTGACCCTTGCCTCTAGAAAAGAAGAGGCTGTGTGGAAAGTCACAGTGAGTCTCTGAGGCAGATACTGAAGTGCAGGACCGTTGGGGCATGGAGTTATTATATAAGATCTTTGCAATATAAGATCTTATATAAGACCTTTTCAATATGTACAAAGGAAATCGGATCACAGAAGGTAGAGCAGGAAAATACTAGGCCACCCAATCCCTCACAAATCCATAGCATTAGATGGCCTGTGTATATTTTGTATATTTAACAGAGGTTTGTTTGTGTTAATAACAAAGGTGGACAGGAAAGATTAGTGAGTGGTGGGATGACTAGAAGCTGAGATAGTTTTTTCTGTTTCCTCTTTGGCAGTAAAAAATTGTCAAGAAGTGAACCTTTCCACGCCCCAAAATTAAGACAGTCAAAATAATTTATAATAAGTATTCTCCAAAGGCAAAAGTATATATTTCTCTTTTGATATGAGCTCTAAAGTACCATAACGTTCAGTGCAATATAATCAGATGAACAACTGATGTGTTCGGTTTCCTTAAGTTGCAATACATGATTTATAATGTCCCACCCACTTTTCAGCTGGTTTTTATAAAAAGTTTTAGATGGGAAATTTAAGATGCAGTTGAATAATAGAACTCAACAATATCACCTACAGATTCAAGTTTAAAATTGGCATAGTTCAGGCCTGCACAACATACGGCTTGCGGGCTGCATGCGGCCTGAAGGGGCTCACAGTGTGGCTCGCAACGACT